ATGTACAATCTTCTTATCTTTTTTATCCAGGTAATTCTACAATTTTTGAGTGGGGGTGCCATATGGAACTCTTTCAAAAAAAAAATATTTAAATGATGTATGTGTGTATCTAAAATCCATAAGAATTTGGTAACAAGGAGCGAGTTAGCCTTTCTTTGGGCTATGCCCCAGTTGAGGACTAAACAGTATTGTCACCATAATAGAAATAACATTGTCTGAATAAACTAACTTTGAAAAGTTATAATAATTAAAACTTAAATATATTAGTATTAAAATATGCAATCATCAATTATTTTATAAAAGAAAACAAAACAAAAACACAACATATAAATTTATTTCTGTACTGTATTTAATATCATAAAGAATAATATTATGAAAACATACTCTGTGATAGGTTATGTACAAATAAACTATGATTGCAATATAGCTTCTGGCCTAGGAAAACCATTGTTTGTAATAATTTGATTGACCCTTAATGTTTTATGGCTTCCAAAAATCTCCAGAGAATATAACCTTATGTTTATTGTTCACTCCTGATATTCACATGAGAATGTATTGGAATGAACTTGTCAACAGAACTTAAATTTGATTGGAGCTATCTTGAAATTATGTTGGGCTAGAAGCCCCTCATGTTTCCTACATTGTTTTAAATTCTAGTCTTTTCATTTGGATGCACATCTTTTCCTCTTTGGAAAGCAGTCCACTGTGAGTGAACATTAGAACCACTTAAAAAATTGTAGCAAAGCTGAAACATTAAGAAAAAGTCAGCCACAGGAGTAAAAGATTTCACATTTTCTACTATGGCCAAATTAAAATAATAAGCAAAACAGTGAAGGTAGATGGCTTGAGGTATGAGCCCCAGAGCACTTGCTGCTCATGACAGCAGTGCTATCATATCCTTGACCAATCTGGTTTGTAACATCAAGTCTGTTGTCCTTTCACTCCTCCAGAATATATTTGACCAATGATTCTACGTTGAGTTCATCAGCAACTTCAAAACCAAGAACTTCGTCATGAGTTTCTGAATCATAAAAATTTTTTATAGGTGTTTAGTTTCATCAACTGTGATTGAAAAGTACTGAGCTTCTCTTGTTTCTTTTATTTCATCCAAAATTGTATCACTAAGGGTATGTTTTGGACAGCAGTAAGTCTCAGTGTATCTGCAAGTATTTTGCTGTATTCTCTATTGTTTCTACAATCATCTGGTGAGTTTCATTAACTCAGTCCACTACTGTTTTCTTTACTAAGCATTATATTTGCATGCATTGTTCAAATGTGGATCAGACTGCTTGCGTTTGAGAAGTTTATTGTTTTTTGTAGATCACCTGTGCATTTTTTTCCATGTATTGAACCCTTCAGACACAAAAGCTTGCTCACCTTGATATTTAGCGCTTGTAGTAAAATGACAATGGACAAAACAGTAAACTTTGTCAGTAGTTTTAGAATATTCAAGCCAAGGATATGCTTTATGTTGTTCAGGTATGAATTTTTGTCCATGACTCTTTGGAAAGTGGAAGGGCTTAATAAGAACAAGTCCACTGTTGTGCGTTCGGAATATGTCAGCCTGTCCACCTACTCCAAGAATCGGCCTAGACAGAGTTGATTTTCTACTACTACTGCTGCTGCTCAGTTAATGCAGTTGTCCAATGGTAGTGGAGTCTCTCACTATATCTTCATGTTCTTGATCAGAAGTATCCACACTGCTTCTTTGGTTCAATAGTCTATCCTCTGTCAGGTCTTCAGGTATGACACTTCTTGCTTGGTCCACATTTCTCCTTGACAGATTCAGCTTCCTGGGAATCGTGTGACTTACGTGGGTAGTTGCAAAATTTTATGATATCCATTTTCTCAAAATAAGACTTGATGTGTCTACACACATGTGCAGAACACCAACTTCATGTAACAATTAACTAGAGTAAAATATACTGTTTAAAGATACCTGCAATCTCTTGACCTATAAACTTGAAGAACAACCTCGCAACAAGTACTGAGGCACAAAATAAAAGTGCTGAAGATAGCTTGGTACACAAAAAACCAGAAAAATTGTGATAGTTATGGGACATATTCTGCGTTTTACATGTTATTATTCTGGGTTTTTTCAATTATTATTTAATTAAATAAATTATTATTTAGTGCAGTAGCACAATTAGTATTAAAAAATAGGGTTAAAGGGAACACCTATTATTGTAGGATATATCTGGTTGACTTCTGGCATACAAGTAAAGAAAATATCCTGTAAAATGGTAGTATGCTTGTGAATGTGTTTTCTTGTTATACACAATACATTTGCTCTATGTATATAGAATTAAATGGGGGGGGAGGCAAATGCTCCTTTAGCTGCACCACTGTTGACACACTTAACATATCATTGTTTTTTCCTTTAAAAACCAAGTATCTGTGGCATTCATTTTAAGGCTGAATCTTTTTTTTTCTAACTTATAGCAAGCAAAGTGTGGAATTAAAATTAGACATGACTTTTAGTAGTTGTGGACAGTTTTTTATAACTGAGATAAAGGACACTTTTAGAGTATAAAAGAAGGAAGGTAGGGGGTTGTGCCCATCCAGCCAACTCCCGTACACTCCATAGAGGCTACAAAACTGTTCTGACAAAGTATTCATAATGTGTATAGTAATGGGTTACATAACTTTCATAAAGAATTTATAACGTGTATAGGAAAGTAATGGATTATGTAATTGTTCTAACAAAGTATTCATAATGTGTATAGTAATCGGTTACATAACTGTTCTGACAAAGTATGCATAATGTGTATAGTGATTGGTTACATGACTGTTCTGACAAAGTATTCATAATGTGTATAGTAATAAGGGTTACATAACTGTTCTGACAAAGTATTCATAATGTGTATAGTAACTGGTTACATAACTGTTCTGAAAAAGTATTCATAATGTGTATAGTGATGGGTTACATGACTGTTCTGACAAAGTATTCATAATGTGTATAGTAACCGGTTATATAAATGTTCTGACAAAGTATTCATAATGTGTATAGTGATGGGTTACATACCTGTTCTGACAAAGTATTCATAATGTGTATAGTAATGGGTTACATAACTGTTCTGACAAAGTATTCATAATGTGTATAGTAACCGGTTGCATAAATGTTCTGACAAAGTATTCATAATGTGTATAGTGATGGGTTACATGACTGTTCTGACAAAGTATTCATCATGTGTATAGTAATCGGTTACATAACTGTTCTGACAAAGAATTCATAATGTTTTTGTAGTAATGGGTTATATAACTGTTCTGATAAAGAAGTTGATAGTTAAGTTTTCAGATATGTTTAGAACGAGTTAGAGATATTGTTTATTGTTAGCATGTTAAATGTGAAGAATGTTTGAGTTGAGGTATGTTTAAGAAAAGTGTGTTTAATTATGAATTTAGTTTTGAAAATCTTTTAATAGACTTGTGAAGGTCAACAATACTGGCATCAAGATTGATGTCATTTGGTGTTACAGTATTTAACAATGCTATCCAGTAAGCTCTTTGGCATAAACTAAACCTGACACAAACAACTCTAGGTTATGATTGGCTAGTTCTCAAGGTCAACTCATATGGAACATCTGGCTTACATGAAGTCAATACCTGTGCCTATATATTTCATTACACTCATGAAACATAACCCTTTATTCTCCTGAAGAAGAATAGTCAACTATTTAAAAGTGCTTGAGTTTTGGGTCTTGTTTGAAAACATTACAACTTTTGTAGGTGATCCTGTGTGCTAACTTCTTAACCAGAATCTGTGAAACTGTAGATAGTGCCTATGATCAGACCTTGCTGCAGAAAGTAGTGGCTCAGGCTGAATATATCAAGATCTCAATCAGATTTATCAAGTTGCATATATTAGAACTTAAAGACTTAGTGACTTGGGAAAATTATATATACACACTATAGCCTACAGGGGAGTAAGGTATGTAGTACTTGGAATTTCAGTACCTTTTAGTAAATGCTCTACAAGCAGAGTTTACATTGTCTGCATCTTAACCACAGGATTTTCTGCAGGTTTTAAGTTTGGTGGGATGTCTGTCTTAATCTTTCATATTTTTATTGAAATAGAAGGTGTGTGTTCTTTTAATTAAACAGAACCCATTTGCATATAAATAGTTCAGCTTAATACAGATTATTGATTATATCAGTCTAGAATAGTGTTTTTCTTCACCTGCTCCCAGATATTCTTGTGCCAGTCCAGATATTGACCCCGAAACACAACAACCAAGAGGATGTTCCAAAGAAAATAAAGCACTAGGTAAAAATAAAATCAAAGCTCTTCATTCAATAGAAACTTTATTTTGTAATCACATTAAAAACCATTTAATTTTGATGTTACTGCAGTTAGATTTATGGTTAGATTTAAAATGTTATTTCTTTATAAAATAATTTAATGTGAAGATATTTTTTGGTTTTTTCCAGTAAATTGTACAACATCTGAGAATATAAAATGTAAACCGGGCACAGGATTGGATAACAGAAACTTTACAATTGAGATACCTTGTGAATACACGTGAGTATAAATGATAATAAAACAGATCCATAAGGGTTGAAGGAAACAGTCAGAATATGCTCTTTGATATTTAAAGCTAGTCCTTTGAAGAAGAAATTATAGATTTGGAGGTGGCTCAGCCATTTTTGCAAATGTTTTGATATGAAGTTTAACATGGATTAATTATCTGGTTCGTACCTTTTTCTCTTGATAAACAATAACAGGAGCCAAGTAAGAGTTTGTTGATTTAAGTATGCAATCTTTACCCATCTTATACTATTTTGTTCAATATATCAAGTGTAATCTATGGTTACCTAACTTTCATATCGCAACCAAACAGTTAAACCTGTTTGATGGTGTCTTTCTTCTAGTGGAGCAAGGAGGTCCTTGGCACTTCTGATTTCCGGTCGCTGGAGTGGTGGACAATGGAGGATTCCTAACAAGTGGGATTTGTGCAATAAAACAATCTCATAGTCATATGTACTCACTCGGTGAGAAGATGGCTATCATATTTGTGCTTCATATTATACACTGTCATTATATTCTCAATCCAAAGTGCTTCTCCTGGATGTTTTTGCCTGGTTGGACTGTACTTGTCATACTCAATACTGGCACAAAGCATATCCCCTGATTATTTTTGCCTGGGTGGACCACAAATGTTCTCTCAATAATTTTTGTACATGTTATGAAACTCACAAATTTATGCAAGGTGCTTTCATTGGATGGTTTCTGCCTGGATGGACCACATTTGATATAATCCAACATATCCCATAGTGCTTTCCCTGGATGTTTTTGCCTGGGCAGATCTCAATTGGCTATCCTGATATAAATCCAAGGCTCTTCCCCTGGAAGTTTTTTGCCCAGGTGGACCACATTTGTTGATGTTGCAAACATATGTAAGGCACTTCCATGTTGTTTTTGTCCTTAGACCACACTTGGCATAATATGTTGTATCCCAAGGCACTTCTCCTAGATGTTTTCTGCCTGGGCAGACTGCACTTGACCTATTCATATACAATCCTCTAGCCCCAACCACGTATTCTATTTGATTCCGCCCTGTGTGTCTTTCTTTCTTCTTTACTGGGTGAAGAGAGCATACCTGTTCCACGAATAGTGCTATATTCCACAGGTGTGTCTCCTATTTTAACTGTGGCACACTTGTTTTTTCATGGCAGTTGTTCTCAGCTTGTTTGATTGTTTTTGCACCTTCACCAGCCCCTCCACCTTTCCAATGTGGGATTCTAGCTTTGGGTGAAAGGAGGTAGTACCGTTTAGGAAGTTAACATTTTCTAACACTAAAAATGTATTTCTGATAGGTGCTTACCTCCTCTCACTCACTTTTCACCTTTCTTCCCCACTTGAAAACGTCTGCTGATTCCATGAAGCTATGTTAAGATAAGAGATCTACTGAAGTCAGCTTTGTACCAGGAGACAAGGTGTGGTTGTATAATCCCAGGAAGACCAAAGGGAAGTCTCCTAAGTTGTCTTCTCCATGGGAAGGCCCATATGACATAGTGGATCGTCTCTCAGACGTGATTTTACGAATAAAATGTGGTAGGCGAGGTACGCCAAGGATGGTGCATGCCAACAGGCTTTGGCATTATCAGGGTCCAGGACATTTCAGTTGGAACGAAGTGAACAACAAAACAAATGATGCTGCTGAAGATGTGACACCTGAAAAAGCCACTGTCGAAGAAGAAACTCTACCCAGTTTTGAGAAGGGAAACAGTAAAGCCCTTAATGAAGTTACTACCACTGATGTGACTGTTACCGATAATAGGACATTTCCTGATGGAGCAGATGAACCCCATGTGAAGCAGAAGACAACGAGACGGAGACCAGTACGGAAGAAGATACGTCCCGTAAAATTAAGAGACTGTGTTGAATTTTAATTTTGTGTTTGTAAATTCTGTACATTTAATCATTACATATTCTGTTATTCAATATGCCTTATTTAACAGTGTAATCATTACATACTCTGTTATTCAATATGCCGTATTTAACTGTGTAATCATTACATATTCTGTTATTCAATATGCCGTATTTAACTGTGTAATTATTATGTACTCTGCCATTCAATATTCCTTATTTAACTGTGTAATCATTACATATTCTGTTATTCAATATGCCGTATTTAACTGTGTAATCATTACATATTCTGTTATTCAATATGCCGTATTTAACTGTGTAATCATTACATATTCTGTTATTCAATATGCCGTATTTAACTGTGTAATTATTATATACTCTGCTATTCAATATGCCTTATTTAACTGTGTAATCATTACATAATCTGTTATTCAATATGCCGTATTTAACTGTGTAATCGTTACATACTCTGCTATTCAATATGCCGTTTTTAACTGTGTAATCATTACATACCCTGTTATTCAATATGACTTATTTAACAGTGTAATCCTTACCTGAATTTTGTATTAAATATGTCATGTGCAGGTTCAGATGTCTGAAATTGTTTTTGCATGAGAGTTAGAAGAAATGTGATTGAGATGTATAAGATTGTTAAGGGAATTGATAGTGTTGGTGCTCCATCTTTTTTGTATTTAATGAAGAGAATGATAAAACTAGGGGACAATTTTAGTAGGGTAGGAATCATGTTTAGCTGAAATAGTGTTATTTTTCTTTTAAACTTATGATTTTTAAACATTGTACTGTTTACAACATGGCTGTGGATGTTTTTTAAACATTCCACTGTTTATACTGTAGCTGTGGATGTTTTTAAACACTGTACTGTTTATTCTGTAGCTATGATGTTTTTTAAACACTGTACTGTTTATACTGTAGCTGTGGATGTTTTTAAACATTGTACTGTTTATAATATAGCTACAGATGTATTTTATATATTGTACTGTTTATAATGTACTTATGGATGATTTTTAAACATTGTACTGTTTATAATGTACTTATGGATGATTTTTAAACATTGTACTGTTTATAATGTACTTATGGATGTTTTTTAAACATTGCACTGTTTATACTGTAGCTGTGGATTTGTTTAAACCTAGTACTGTTTATTCTGTAGATATGATGTTTTTTAAACATTGTACTGTTTATAATGTACTTATGGAGGTTTTTAAACACTGTACCTTGTACCTAAACCTTGTACTATTTATTATCTAGCTATGGATGTTGTTTGATTATTGTACTGTTTATAATGTAGCTGTAGATTTGTTTAAACCTAGTACTGTTTATTCTGTAGATATGATGTTTTTTAAACCTTGTACTATTTATTATCTAGCTATGGATGTTGTTTGATTATTGTACTGTTTATAATGTTGCTACAGATGTTTTTAACTATCATACTTTTTATATTTCCATATGTAGGAATGGCTATTCATTTGAAACAGCTCTTCTGTTGTCAATCTTTCTGGGAATGTTTGGTGTAGACAGGTTTTACTTAGGCTACCCTGCTATTGGTATGTTATATGTATGTTTTATTCTTTGTCTGGTATATAACCACCAGAGTGTTACAACTTGAAATCTGTTTCTTTAAGAACAGTTAAACCAGCCACAAAAATAACATTATGATTCATAGTTTGTAAAATTATATGGACTTTTCTCATTCTTAAGTACTTTTTTTAGTTCTAGATTTTAATATTTTAATAATCTCAGACTTCGACATATTGTATGAAATGAAAAAAAGCTCGAGTCTCTTTTCAATATATTGTAATGTGCAGACTTTCTAGACTTGTCTCCTTGTGGACAAAGCTCTGTATATATATTTTTTATATATTAACCTTTTGACTGCTAGCTGCTGAATTCTTTAGAAGGTAACATTGCTCTTGTCATATTTCATTTCAAAAATAAAACTAGTGGATGAAATTATTTAAAATTTGTTAAGAATGTTCCTAAAAGTATGTACTTTCAGAAAAATAAAATATTCTATTTTTATTTTTAATATGTATAGTTTCACCTCCTTATATTTTCTCTTGTAGTTTATTTTTAATTTTCCTTTCCAATTCTTTGTCTTTTATTAATAATGCCAGTACATTAGCTGGTGCCCCTGAGGCTTTATTATTATAATATATGGGGACTCCCATACAGAGACTAACAGTTTGCACAAGCGTGAGTGATGCCAACTTGTTTATACACATTCACAATCCATGCAACAAGAAGTTAAACTTATAAAAATCATTAAAGCTTTCAAGCATAGTGTAAGCTGAGCTCTTTCTAATGAATATATACACTTGTATCAACTAACTACATGTACCTTGTAGATCTCAAGGCAAACTATAGAAGGTGGGAGTGGCATTCATCAAGAATTGGAAAATTTATTTCTCTTTCCCAGTGAATACAGTTGTGAGACTTTGTATCTTACATGTCAAAAGGCCACATAGACCTACATTGTCGTCTTAGACACTTTTCCACATTGTGGCTAAGAGTGAACCGCTGCTAAAGTCGAGATTTTTCATAGTGTGTGGATCACATGACACGAAAATTGCAGTTTAAGTATTTTTTGAAAGATTTGGAACAAAGTAATTAAAACTTAGATAACATAAAAATTCAAATTATAACATACAATATAATGTTAATTTCATTGACATATATTGATAGTAAAGTGGTTTAATTAAATTTTGAATGTAATGCAGTAACATACACAGAAAGGAATTTTAAAATGGCATCGGAAGCTATAGGGTTAATATACCTTTGTTATGAGTTTTATAATATAAGCTTCCTAGTTCTCACAGTGCTTTTATCTAACAAAATATTTTACAAGTTAATGGTATCTTAAGTAAGTACAGAGCACCATAAGTTTTGATATCACATTATTGGACTACTTTGAACCCACATAAGTGGTAGTGTTGACATTCGATAATCTATGAGAATTTAGGTTACAGTTAGAGATATTGCTAGAAGTAGAAAGTTGTGTGTACCAAAGCAGTTATCATTTGTAGAGACAGACTGTTAATAAAACCCAAAAACTTTTCCATTTCATTCTTTAACAAACATTAGTTAGGTGAACTTTGGGTATAGTAGAACATTCTGGTGTTATATTGTAGGAATGTGTTAAAGTTAGGTGAACTTTTGGTTTAGTAGAACATTTTGGTGTTATATTGTAGGAATGGGTTAAAGTTAGGTGAACTTTTGGTATAGTAGAACATTTTGGTGTTATATTGTAGGAATGTGTTAAAGTTAGATGAATTTTTGGTTTAGTAGAACATTCTGGTGTTATATTGTAGGAATGTGTTAAAGTTAGGTGAACTTTTGGTATAGTAGAACATTCTGGTGTTATATTGTAGGAATGTGTTAAAGTCAGATGAACTTTTGGTTTAGTAGAACATTCTGGTGTTATATTTAGGAATGTGTTAAAGTTAGGTGAATTTTTGGTTTAGTAGAACATTCTGGTGTTATATTGTAGGAATATGTTAAAGTTGGGCGAACTTTCGGTTTAGTAGAACATTTTGGTGTTATATTGTAGGAATGTGTTAAAGTTAGGTGAACTTTCGGTTTAGTAGAACATTCTGGTGTTATATTGTAGGAATGTGTTAAAGTTAGGTGAACTTTTGGTTTAGTAGAACATTCTGGTGTTATATTGTATGAATGTGTTAAAGTTAGGTGAACTTTCGGTTTAATAGAACATTCTGGTGTTATGTTGTAGGAATGTGTTAAAGTTGGATGAACTTGTGGTTTAGTAGAACATTTTGGTGTTGTGTGGTAGGAATAATCAACTTAGATAACCATTTTATATTTGATTTAGTACAATATTGTGTTGGTATATTGTAGGAATGTGTTTAAGTTATACAAGTATTTACATTTTGTTAGTGTATCATATTGTTTGTGTTTTATTTTGTTAGTGTATCATATCACTGTAACATGTTAGTGTTTCATAGCATTGATGTATCGTACTAAACTGTTTATGTTTTCAGGTTTATTGAAGCTCTGCACATTGGGCTTCATGTTCTTGGGTCAGCTTGTTGACATAATACTTATTGCATTACAGGTGAGTTGACAGAGCCTTTCACCACATTCCTACAACATAACACCAGATTGTTCTATTATACCAAAAGTTCACCTAACTTTTAACACATTCCTACCATATAACTTAATATTTGTATTACATAACATATATTAGTCTGATAATGATCTAGATTACATTCATATTTTACATAAAAAATGAAATTTTAGCAATCTTAGTCTTTGTAAGACTTGAAACTGTAAAGCTTTCATGTGTATAAATTGTCTCTCAGTTTAGTAAAGTAAGTGGCCTTTAAAAGATGGATCTTTAACTAATTTGTATCTAAGTCTTTTATTTTCTTGTTCATCTTAATCTAGTGTATAATTTTAATTATAGGTTTAAAGACAAGTAAAGTTCTTTGCAACACCCAGTGTGTGACATATTTTGTAAGTTGGTTTGCAACAAAACTTTTTTGCTATTTCCTTTTTCTTTTTAAATTCTGAATGGAGATTTGAACTCCTCGTGATATCTGGAATTTGAATTGCTCCAAGCATGGCTGAATTTGCACTAGTTTCTAGGCTATAATGGAGTAAAACCTATATCTCCACCCAAAATCTCACATAAACACAGCCGCACGTGCTGCACAATACAGCATCTGTTTCTCAGCTCTATGAAGCTATTTCTCTCTGTGGATTTCTCTAGTACTGTCGAGACAGCTGGTCAAGGAAGGGTCAATGAATTTTAAATGCTGTTATATAGTTGCTAAGTGCTCTACCTGACTGAACATGAACACTTCTACTATTCTGTACATGAGGAACATGATCAAGCCAACCACCTACCATAATTTTCCAAATATAATACAATCTTTTTTTTAAAAAAAAATTTATCTAGGTGGTACGGTGCATATAATATATGGTGACAAATCTAAATGATTTTTTTTGACAGCCAGTTCAGACCATCTTTTCTGGCATGTATTTTGAACAGTAATCCATACTTACTAGAAGTGTTGCATTTTGATGATATGTCTTATTAATTCTCTCTGTTTCTATGGCATAAACATGATTTTTGAAATAAAATGATCAAGAAGTTAAGTCTTTTGAATTTTAAGATTTATTTACATGCACACTTAGAAATGTTTGGAAATATAAAACTAGCTATCGCAACATTATGTTTGATAATTAAACTACAATTCGTTTTAGGTGAAACCTTCAAATTCTGAGTCTGAATCCAATAGTTGGTGCAACTTCTCTACTAGCTACAGCCAGTTTTGGGGTTTTTTAGAATGTTTATTTGCCAGCCACGATTCAAAAATAACAAGCGGTAAAATGAATTCACTTTTACAGATACTCTAATATTTTGGCAATGTTTATTTGTCTGCCTCAATTGCAAACATAGCAAGCGCTACAGCAAATGTGCGTGCAGTTAGAGACTATACGACACTAACATTCTTGTTTTTGAAGGGTTACTTTGACCACAGTATTGCAAATGTTTAGGTGCATATTATTTGTGCTTATAAGGCAAATTTGAATCTTTGACTTTAGGTCAGAAGAAATATGAAATTTTGAGCTCATCCTTGTATGAAATCTTGTGTGAAAAGTATGAAATTAGCACAATAACATGTCAAAATGGTTGAGAAAACCACTAGGGGATATTCTGAGCTTTTGATTGGCTATTCATGTCATCTATAGAAGTAAATGTTTATAAGGGTCTGTTTCCAAAAATGGAAAGAAGTGGGGGGTCACTGTGTTTGATTCAGTACAGGAGCAATTTCTTAGCAAATAGAAAAGATAAGACGTTCTTCTTTTATATTCTAGCTTGTCAGTATTGGTAGTTTGAGATCCTAATTCGTATATATTTTGTATTTTGACATCCCAAACATCTAATTTGAACCACTGCTGCATTCAACATACCACGTGACACACAAAAATCGATATTTACTTTTAAATTAAGAAATTAGCTAATATATAATACTAAGATATGAATTGTAATCTACAATTTGATACCAAACGTATTGATGTAGATTCATAAAATAGTAGTTCAATAAAATTTTGAATGCAAGTCAACACATGACCTGTCGAGATAGGGTTAAGGAGTAGTTTTTTTTAGAATAGCAGATCAAGCCATATAATGAGGTTTGAGATTGAATACCAGAAACCATGACACCCCTCTATAGCCCCCTGAATTCTGTCTCATTGACTCTCAGATTGGATGTTAAATAGATATAGTTTTAAGAGTGTTTACATTATGAATCTTACTTCTATTGTACGTTTTATCAGAATCTCTCTTACTGTGTTTGCAGGTGAACTAAAATTATCTAATTTTGATTATAGGTAGTGAGACCTGCAGATGGTTCTTACTATGTGATAAACTATTTTGGACCACGTTTAACTTTTCTTCAGATGAACAATGATACATATGTTGTACCTCAGGAACCTGAAGCCGAACTTTGAGAAAACAACCAATGTGGCTATTATCAAACTACAATTAAGTTGTTTTCTGTGGATCTGAATCTTTCTTCTGATGATTAAAAACAAGAAGAAGAATGTGCATTACTTTCACAAACCCTGGATGGATGATAACCACTATCAAATACTCTCCCCAGTTTGTTTAAGATGACTTGTTTCTTCTCTGTTTGTAGTATTAGTTGGGTTTTTCATTCAATAAGAGAGGGTTACACAAGTAAGAAGCTGATATGTTTTAAACTTCACTTTGCAAATTTTAATTAGCTGGAGACTTTGCAACATAAATACAATGGAATAATGTTTTTTTATATTATGTACTAATCATATCATTGAACTGTATAATTACTTTCATCTTAATGTTAATTTAACTTGTCTTTCATAGAGTTTTGTTTGCAATGAAAACATTGGATGTAAAATGCTTTGTATATTTTCATATACTAATGCTTTCTCTAAACATATTCTGTAATCTATCTCAAAGTTTCAACTTCACCATATTGTTATCAGTATGTAGCTCCTCAAAATTACTTTTTTTGTATTTAAGAATGTTTTGTTTCTTTGAAGAAGTTGGCCAAAGACTGATAACATAAAATTACAAGATACTACTATATTTTGTGCTACTTGTGTTTTGTAAAATCAAATATAATATATAATCATAGACATTTCAACTACAGTTTTGCTTTTTGATAAAAAATGTAAAGTGATAGATTGAAATATGTAAGATTCTAAAAGAAAGCAAATTAAGTAAAATATATTTATAAAAAAAGTGAAACAAGCTTGTGATATGAGGAGAAATGAAAAAGTCGAAGTTAGTTCACAATCAGTGTTACATCTGAAGTTAACTCTTGATTTGATGCAACATTACTGAAACTGTGAGCTTTAATTACAACACCCCTTTTGTTAGTGTATGTTGAATAATATAACATGTATATGCAATCCCAAGTTTTATTGGAGTGGATCCTTTTATATCAGTAGACAAAAGTTTGGTAGTGGAACTTACATATTCCTTTACACAACAAGGAATTGTTCTTCAAAACTATAATATATCTTGAAAAGGAAATGTATTTATTAAGAACTGATTTTAAAACACACCAAATTTGTACTTGTTGATAATAGTGTTTGTGAAATGATTAACAGTTAGACAAGTCTATAATTTTACATTTTAATGTCTGCAAGAAACAGGACAACACTTTTAATAACAGTTAGAAGTTCAAGACATTTCCAGACAAGGACATGTTCACAAGTTACTAGTTAATTGAAACATTCTAAAGTTTTTAAACCTCTGTTTGACATATATAACAGTTATGGTTCTGAAAGACTGTAAACTTGATGAGATTACTGTTCCTAATACATGTTCATTTCAGTATTCAAGACATACTGAATATGGTCATCCAAGAGTTGTATCCAGTCAAAACATGAAGATTAGATTACTATTCCTGATTCATGTCCATTCCAGTATTCAACACTTACTGAGTACTGTCATCCAAGAGTTAATGTGTATGCCAAACACGTCTGTTCCAGTGTTCAAGACATGCTGAATATGGTCATCCAAGAGTTGTATCCAGTCAAAACATGAAGATTAGATTACTATTCCTGATTCATGTCCATTCCAGTATTCAACACTTACTGAGTACTGTCATCCAAGAGTTAATATGTATGCCAAACACGTCCGTTCCAGTGTTCAAGACATGCTGAATATGGTCATCCAAGAGTTGTGTACT